GACTTAAAAAAACCAAAAAACAAAAAACCATAATTATAAATTTAATATTAATATTGACTCTATATATTTTGCAGATGTTTTCGAAGGAAATATCGGAGATGGTTTGGATGATGAAGATATTAAGGGTATTCTTTCGCTATACGAAGCTTCATATCTCTCGACCAGATTCGATACTAAATTGAAAGAGACCATATATTATACAACAAGCCGACTTAGAAAATTCGTTGGAATGAAGAAGACAAAGACTAAACCTTATGTTCTTCGAAAGATGGTGATCCATGCGTTAGAGATGCCATACCACCGGAGAGTGGAAAGACTAGAAGCAAGGTGGTATATAGACGTGTATGGAGAGCGAAAAGACATGAACCCTATCTTGCTCGAATTCGCAAAACTTGATTTCAATATCGTACAAGTTATTCATCAAGACGAGCTCAAATATCTCTCTAGGTACGTTAACTTAAGAAACACATGATTTTTAATTATTTTTTTTATATAAAAGAAACACATGATTTATGGACTTATGAAATTTTATTTTCGTTTATGTTTGTGAGTTGTCTTGTAGTTTCAAATGAAATCATAATATCTTGGTATTTTTATGGATAATAATATTTTGTAAATCATAAACGCAAGCGATTGTTTTTACGTGTTTTCTCTTACTATAAAGTATAAAATTTGCGTTTGAAACATTCAAAACATGTATTATATATTCAAATTTTATATAGTTAAAAAAAATATACGTATGAAGCAGTTGGTGGAGCAAGACAGGACTAACAAAACACCTTGGCTTCGTAAGAGATCGAATAACAGAGAGTTATTTCTCTAGTGTTGGAGTAATCTATGAGCCCGAGTTTGCATATCACCGACAAATGCTTACTAAAGTTTTCATGCTTATTACAACTATCGACGATATATACGACATTTATGGGACATTGGAGGAGCTCCAACTGTTAACGACCATAGTTGACAAGTAATTAAGAACAAAACACTTTATACTTGTGTCTATGTCTATATCTATTTCTTTGTTTCTTCACTGAATCGATTCTTGATGCAGATGGGATGTGAATCGTCTTGAAGAACTTCCCGAGTACATGAAGTTATGTTTTCTCTGCCTCGTCAACGAAGTCAATCAGATTGGATATTTTATTCTCAAAGATAAAGGATTTAATGTGATTCCTTACCTCAAAAATTCCGTACGTAGTCTCATGACAAACCTTGGATTTAGCGTGTATTCTTGTCATTTGGTTTAGCTCCATGGTAACTATAGATTTGAAAATATTAATAGGTTGGTCCGTTCACAATTATGTGGTCAAATGATAAATAACAAAAAGCGGCCCAAATATAAATATGTTGGTCCGTTCATAATTTTTCTCTAAATGTTAAATTATTTTTATCTTTTGTTCTGTCTTCTTAGTGGGCAGATCTGTGTAAAACGTTTTTAAAAGAAGCAAAGTGGTACAAAAGTGGTTACAAACCTAACCTCGAAGAGTACATGCAAAATGGTTGGATCTCAAGCTCTGTCCCTACAATACTTCTCCACTTGTTCTGTCTATTCTCCGACCAAAATTTAGACATTATCGTCTCCTATCAGTATCACCACCCCGTTGTTCGGAGCTCCGCCACCATCCTCCGTCTCGCTAACGATCTCGCCACTTCTTCGGTCAGTCTTCATGCTTCCATGACATATTAGTATATACGTTTTTCACCAAACATGCAAGAAAGCAGTTTCAAACAATAGTTGCCAAACTGATTTACGTACTGACCTTTTATTATGAGTTAAATTTTCTTTGTAAAGATCTAGTATATAAAAAAAACCGGTCTTGAGATAGTTGGGGTCTCAAAAGCATTAATTGAGGTTCTATATAAAAGAAGTCGGGTCCATACAAATAATCATTGTCAATTTGTTTTAAGTTGAAAGCTCATAATCTTAATATGTTTATATAGTTATTTACTCACAATATATGATAAGTATAAAAATGTACACAGGAGGAATTGGCGAGAGGTGACACAATGAAGTCCGTACAATGTCACATGCAAGAGACAGGAGCTTCGGAGGCAGAATCACGTGCGTACATTCGAGGAATGATCGGTGTGGCTTGGGATGACTTGAACTTGGAGAGAAAGAGTTGTTTTGTCCAAGCTGCAGCTAACCTTGGACGCATAGCTCAGTGCGTTTACCAGTACGGCGATGGCCATGGCTGTCCCGACAAGGCTAAGACGGTCCACCATGTTCGGTCCTTACTCGTCCACCCTGTTCCACTCAATCATAATTAACCTCAGTTGTAATAAAATCACATGAGAAATATTGGATTCTCTCAAAGAGTTTTTCTCTCCTCAAATTATAAAATATTAGATGAACACCCGCGTGTACACGCGGAATTTTTACTAAAATATATGTTCATAATCTCGTTAAATATATGTTTATGGAAAAAATTAAGACTCAAACTAAACTATGTAAGCCCGTCGTCCTTCTAATATCTGCTTAAAAATCATGACGTATCAAGGGGATTTTGTAGATTTTACCATGCATAAGCATTACGAACTGGTTGTATATACAAAAAAGGTTTGAGAATGTGCACTTAATTATCTTTTATGCTACTGATAAAAATAAGTGATCAGATAAAAATCAAAGAAACAAAATGTTTGTTTCGAAGAAATACCTTTTCAATTCGTAATTTATCATTTGCATTGTGCATGTTATCCCTTTAAGTTACACTATTCATCTGACACCGAACCATTCACAATTTTAGTCTCTTGATAATTAGTGGTGCATTGGTAATCAAAGTGAGAAAAAAAACTTGTATTAACTCCATTCAATTCAAAAACCTACAAACATTGTATAAAAAACTGTCCCATGATATAATAAAGGCTTCTTGTTTCAAATCCCACAAGAATTTTAATAAAACCGAAAGACTTACCGGTCAATGTAAAAAAGGCATCACTCACGTTACCAAGACAATCAAAAAGGCATCACACAAAAATATTTGCACGGAAGAATTAAATTGACAAAAAGTCAAAATCCCTAAGTGCGACCCTGTGTGCGATACGACGACTGTACCTGCTGCCGACCGCCGGCGTCTCTTACGACGGCGGCTCTTCCTTGATTCCCTCCTTCCTCGCTCTCCTCCCCATATGGGGCAGAAGAAAACCAAGAAACGCTCACCATCTCACAAATCGAGCTCCAATGCTCGATCTTCGAAATCTCCTCCGCAATAACAAAATGTTACGGACGTTGTTCTAGATTCTCCAGCCTCGCAGGAGAAGACGATTCCCAACCCGGCTAGCTCTAGTCCCGCGCTATTGCCTCCGGCTGTCGTGGAAAAGCAAGTAGAGGAAGCTCTTCCGACCGTCACGAGTCCTGGAGCTGCTTCTGGAACTATGGCTACTTCTGAGATCGCAGCTACTATTGCTGATCCAGAAACGCCTATTGAGATCGCTGCCTCGGTAGCAGATCCAGCAACTTCTCTTGTGATCGCTGCTTCTGTGGCGGATCCGAAGCACAATGCCGAGATCGCCAGTTCCGTGGCTGATCCGGTAAAGAAGAAGACTACTATGGGAGTTGAGAAGGCTGTTACTGAGGGTCCAACTCCTACTGGAATTTCAGTACAACAACAGGTTGCGTCTCTTGTGACTAAGACAAGCGCAACGGAAACATGGAGCTCTCTTG